TCCTCTCAGCCAACTGGCCTGGAGGTCAGTTCCTCCCAGTGATACCAACAACAATCAAGACTTAACTACAACAAGGCTGTACACACAGTCCACAAGGGGTGAACCAAGAGTGTCCACCTCAGGTAACTGGGAGGCTGACTCACTGAACCATATAGGACACCTTACATACAAAGACACTCTACCAACTCAGGAAAGCTGCGAAAAAGCCGAGACAAGGAAACAGATCACAAACGAAAGAAATGGAGGACAAAAAGCGACTGGATACAGAGTTGAAAACTATGCTTATAAGGTTTTTCAAGAATTTCCTAGAAAAGGCCGAAAAAACAAATGAGGATATGAAAAGGGATCAACTAGAAATAAAGAATACATTGTGTGAAATAAAAAATATTATACAGAATCCTAAAAACAGAATGGAAGATCGCAAGAATCAAGTCAAAGATTTGGAACATAAAGAGCCAGAAGATACTCCTCCACAGAAGCAAAAAGACAAGAGAATCCAGAAAGTTGAAGATAATGTAAGAAGCCTCTGGGACAACTTCAAGCGAACCAACATTAGAATTATGGGAAGAAGAACAGAGAGAGCAAGATACCAAAAACATATTGGAAGAAATAGTGACAGAAAACTTCCGCCACCTGGTGAAAGAATTAGACTTGTAAGTCCAGGAAACACACAGAACCCCAAACAATAGGAATCCAAAGAGGACCACACCATAGTTAAAATGCCAAGAGCAAAAGACAAAGAGAGAATATTAAAAGCAGCAAGAGAAAAGCAGGTAGTTACTATAAAGGAGCACCCATACAATTGTCAGCTGACTTCTCAACCGAAACCATGCAGGCCAGACGGGAATGGCAAGAAATATTCAAGGTGATGAATAGCAAGAACCTACAGCCAAAAATATTCTACCGAGCAAAGCTATCACTCAGAATCAAAGGCCAGATAAAGAGCTTCACAAATTTAAAAAAAAAAAAAAAAAAAAAAGCCAAAGGAGTTTATCACCGTCAAACAAGAATTATATGAATTGCTAAAGGGAGTTCTTTAGGAAGAGGAAGAAAATAAAGATTAAAAATTATGAACAACGAATACATAAATATTAAGAAGTAAATCTAATAACCAAGGGAATTTAAAAATCTGATGATCCGAAACCGGTTTGGCTCAGTGGATAGAGCATCGGTCTACGGTCTGAAGGGTCCCAAGTTCAATTCCGGTCAAGGGCATGTACATTGGTTGCGGGCACATCCCCAGTGGGGGGTGTCCAGGAGGCGGCTGGTCGATGTTTCTAACTCATCGACGTTTCTAGCTCTCTATCCCTCTACCTTCCTCTCTGTATTAAATCAATAAATATATATTTTTAAAAAAATAAAAATAATAATAAATAAAAAATAAAAAATCTGATGAACAATATTAACTGGTGAATAAAATAGAATTAGAGGTATGCAAGGGGAGTGGACTGACGATTCTCAGGGAAAAGGGGAGGGAGTGCGAGAAGAAACTGAACATAATGCACCTATGGATGAGGACAATGGGGGGTGGGGAAAGGGCAGAGGGTGGGGTAGGAACCTGGTGGAGGGGAGCAATGGAGGGGGGAAAAAATGAGGAACATTTGTAGTAATCTGAACAATAAAGATTTTAAAAAAATAAATAAATAAAAATGGGCAAAGTTTCAAAGAGGATATATAGATGGCCAATAGACAAAAGTTATTAAATGTCATTCACTAATCATCAGAGAAATACAAATTAAAACTGCAATGAGATATCACCTCACACCTATCAGAATGGTTATTATTAGTAATCAACAAACTAGTGTTGGGAAAGATGTGCAGAAAAAGGAAACCTCATGCACTATTGGTCAGAATACAGACTGGTGCAGCAACTGTAGAAAATGGTATAGGGTTACATCAAAAAATTAAATATGGAACTGCTTTATGGCCCAATGATTCCACTTCTGGAAATACATATTCAAAGAAACCCAAAACACTGATTTGAAAGAATATATGCAACCCTACATTCATTGCAGAATTATTTACAACTAGAATACCAATGCACAAAATTTGTGCAAGGGGGTGAGGGGGAGGTATCCCTCAGCCCAGCCTGAACCCTCTCCAATCTGGGACCCCTTGAGGGATGTCCAATTACCCATTTAGGCCAGATCCTGGGATCTGCTCATCTGCTCATCAACTGCTCATCTGCCTGCCTGCCTGATTGCCCCTAAGCACTTCTGCCTGCCAGCCGGATCACCCCCTAACCATTCCCCTGCCAGCCTGATCGAAGCCTAGCTAATCACTGCGAACCTATTCACCCTTAACTATCCTCCCCTGCCGGCCTGGTTTCCCCTAACTGCCCTCCACTGCCAGCCATCTTGTGTGTTGGAATGATGGTCAATTTGCATATAACTTTTATTATAAAGGCTAGCCAAGATTTGGAAGCAACCTATCTATTCAATACATGAATAGATAAAAAAGCTATGTTACATTTACACAATGGAATACTACTCTGTCATAAAAAAGGAAAATTTTACCTTTTTTGACAGCATAGATGGACCTAGAGAACATTATACTATGTGAAATAAGCCAATAAGAGAAAGACACAGAGCATATGATTTCACTCATATGTAGAATCTAATGAACAAAATGAACTGACAAGCAAAATAGAGACAGTCTCAAAGACAGTGAACTGATAGCTATAAGAGATGCTAGGGGAGTAGGGATTGAGGAAAAAAGAGGGGGGAAAAAAAGAACTCATGGGCAGGACAAAAGCATGGTGACTGCCCAGGGGGGAAAGTGGGTGAGGTGGAAAGTATAAGGGGTATAAATGGCAATCGGTGGAGATTTGGCTTAGGATGGTAAACAAACAATACAGTGCATAGAGAATGTGCTAGAATTGTACATCTAAAACCTGTCACTCAAATAAATCAATAAAAAGAAAAAAAATACTTTAGAGTTGGCTACCCAAAATGTTAGTGCATACTAACAGAAGTTATACCTCACTTTTTATTTTTTAAAAATATATTTTATTGTTTTTTAAAAATATACTTTATTTATTTTTTTACAGATAGGGAGACGAAAGAGATAAGAGAGCTAGAAACATCCATGAGAGAGAGACATCGACCAGCTGCCTCCTGCACACCCCATACCAGGGATTTGCCCGCAACCAATGCACATGCCCTTGACCAGAATTGAACCTGGGACCTTTCAGTCCATAGACTGATGCTCTATCCACTGAGCCAAACCAGTTTCAGCTATTCATTTTTTTTTTAACAGAGAGCAAGGGAGAGGGATAGAGAGAAACATCAATGAGAGAGAAACATCTATCAGCTGCCTCCTGTGTAGCCCCCACTGGGGATGTGCCCACATCTGAGGTACATGCCCTTGACCAGAATCGAAGCTGGGAACCCTCAGTCCGCAGGCTAAAGCTCTATCCACCGAGCTAAACCTATCAGGGCTATTTTATTGATTTTTTTACAGAGAAGAAGGGAGAGGGGTAGAGAGTTAGAAACATGGATGAGAAACATTGATCAGCTGCCTCCTGCACACCCACTATTGGGGATGTGCCTGAAGCCAAGGTACATGCCCTTGACCAGAATCAAACCTGGGACTCTTTAGTCCACAGGCCGACACTCTATCCACTGAGTCAAGCCGGTTAGGGCATACACCTCTACTTTTTAAAAATTTCTTTATTATTGAAAGTCCCAACCGCCACCCCAGGTCTTCACCACACTATTTGTCTATGACCATGGGTAATGCATATCTTATACAATAAAGATGTAATATGCAAATGGTCGTTATGCTGTGAAGCTTAATGACCAACCACGTAACAACCAGATCACGGATCAGCAGGAGATTGAGGCAGCGAACTATAAGCAGGTGGGAGCTACAGGAGGGGGCAGGGCAGCAAGCTATGAGCGGGGGCAGGGGGAGCTACAGGAGGGCATGGCAGGGCAGCGGGTGGAGAGCTACTGGAGGGCAGCAGCAAGCTACTGGCAAGCTACTGGTGCACGGATTCATGTTCAGCGTTACTAATATGCATGTAAGTTCTTTGATTGATCTTTTCCCACCCCTTCTCTCTAAGATTCAAGTTCCATTTTTGTATATCTTTGGATCAGTTTATTCATCAGTTTATTTTATTCATTAGATTCCACATATGAGTGAGATCATGTTATATATGTCTTTCTATGACTGGTTTATCCACTTAACATAATACTCTCCAGGTCCCTCCATACTATCTCAAAAGATAAGAGATCTTTCATTTTTATTGCTGCACGGTATTCCATGGTATAAATTTACCATAGCTTTTTTTAATATAAATGTACCATACCTAACGGGTACTTGAGCTGTTTCCAGATCTTAGCTACAGAACAAATATACTTCTACTTTTTAAATTTCTTCATGAATTACTTGATTTTCACAGGATGCCACAATTTAATAAATACATGGTACTGAACTATAAAGAAATATGTTTTTCTGAGGGAGATAACTAAAAACAGAAATGAAAATGAGAAATACGAAAGCACAACAGAATTTAGCAATCAGCCAAAAGGCCCTCAAGTGTGTTAAAATTAACATTCAATAAACATCATCTGTCCTGCAATACACAAAAGGGGGGCAGGGGTCTAAAACAACAGATTTTAACTCTAGCTGTGAAGGGGGAAGGAGGGAAGGAGGGAGGAAGGAATTGAGGGAGGGAGGGAGAGGAAGAGAGAGCGAGCAGCTTATTTTTCAAAAACACTTTCTATAATGAACTGTATCCATTTAAAAAAAAATCAAAATATTTATAAGTATGTGGATTGTTCTGTATTAAGAAAAAAACAATGCTTAATTCTATCTACAAAGTAGAAAAACTTTTTCAATAAAAAATAATTCATAAATTATATCCACTGCTATAAAAAATATTTGAGTGGCAAACACTATTCAATTTTATATAATTATATGAACTACCAAATACCTTAAAATACTTTCCCAATCCAGTCTTCAATAAAATTTTTTTCAAAAATCTCTGCACTTACCCCCATTATCTGTTCTTTTTAAAGCTCCATCCTTATGAGGACACAGTTCACATCTCTATTTAAAAAAAAAAAAAAAAAGGAAACAAAGATATTTTTCAGATTACAAAAGTATAACATCTTCCTTGTAACTTCAAAACTATTTTTAAAAAAATAGGAGCAACATTTGTACTAGTTGCCACCAAGAGTAACATTTCAGAACATTCCTCACAAAGTAATTCTCCTTGACATGAGATCTTTTTCAGAGCACCAGATAACTTTTACAAAGTAAATTGTTGCTTACTTATAAATTCCTGCCAAGATTTGTTAGTGTTAAATTAAAAACAAAAAGATTCTCTCAACATAAGACTGGTGCATGGTTTTTAACCTTTGCTTCTAGCTCTTTACTTTCTACTAAGATCAGCTAGGCTTAGTCTACTCAGTTAGGTCTGATTTGTTCTAAAATAAAGAGGCAAACTCAAAAATTTAGAATTTTGATTTAGGTGGCAAGGCATGGTCGGTCTCACATATGCTGGCCTCCTTTCTGGAAGAAAGGGCTCTAATTATTCTAGTTACTCTTATTCACACAAAATGGTACTCGGAAGTTATCATGAATCCCACGACCTATCATGAATTTAAAACCAGAAATAAACATAGAGCCACTACTTATCTTTCTTTTCACTATTGACAAGAGGACAAATACAGTTATAAAATTAATAAACAGAGTAAGCTCTTTTAAGATTTTTTTAATCAATTTTTATAGAGAGAGGGGAATGGAGAGGGAGAGAAATATCAACAGGAGAGCAAAACATCAATGGGTATGCTCCCCTTCTGGGGATCAAGCCTAAAACCCAGGCATGCACCGTGACAGGATATCTAGTGGCAACTTTTGAGTGCATGGGACTACTACGCACAACCAACTGAGCCACACCAGCAAGGACTAAACGGACTGTTTAATGACATTGTCTTACTACGAAGAATATGTTCCTATAGGTCACACCTGAGAATTTATTGTGTAACCCCCACATGTTCCCTAAACTTGCAGCATATAATATAATAACATAAATAAATTACAAAGAAAAATAAGAACAGAAAATTAAATATACAAAACATAAGCCATGAGATGCTATTATTTCTTGTCACCCAGTATTTCACTCTCCTGATTTTCCTCTCATCATTTGGTAGTACTTTCTCTGATCACCTTATCCAATGTTTAAATGCAGAAATTCCTCAGCACTCTGACTTAAGATGCCTTCTCACTTCATGTTAAAACACTCAGCAATCTCATTCATTTTCCATACATCTATCACCAATTAAACTGGTAGGATATGCCAGTGACTCACAAATTTGACCTATTCATTTGTGCTTGGATACATATGTAAAACTTTCTGTAATATATTAATACTAGTGGCCCATTGCATGAAATTCGTGCATATCAAGTGAATTAGAGGAGCCCTAACTGGTTTGGCACAGTGGATAGAGCATCGGCCTCCAGAATGAAGGGTCCCAAGTTTAATTTCAGTCAAGGGCATGTATCTTGATTGCGGGCACATCCCCAGTAGGGGGTGTGCAGGAGGCAGCTGATCTATGTTTCTCTCTCATCAATGTTTCTAACTCTCTATCCCTCTCCCTTTCTCTCTGTAAAAATTCAATAAAAATACATTTTTAGAAAAAAAAGTAATTAGAGGAAATATTTTAATATCGCTATTTGCCCTTTATAATAGAAGTGTCACTCGAGATGAAAGAAAATTATTAAAATGCTTATGAAAATCTCCCTCAGAATCTAGGTCACACTGTGGGACCAAGAGTCAAATCCCCACCAACCACCTGTACACGCTTCAAAAACGCAGGAGACCCAGACCTGGCCAGCCCCACCTCCATTGAGAAAGACCTAGACCCACCCCCATCAAGGCCTGATGGGCAGGGGCACAGCCTCAGAACCCCCCAGGTCAGGTGCCATGCAGTCTCAGGTCCCTGTTGTTCTGTCATGACATTATTGCGTCCCAGCTAATTTGCATATTTCTCTATTATTATATGGATAGGCACTTTAAATTCAGTCCCAAATTTTTGACTACACATACTCTTCCTGCAGTTTTCCCTATTTTTGTAATAATAATCTTAATCACATATCGCCCATTCTAGGCATCATCTTTGGACAGCTTTACCTATTTCCTGAACTCATATGTTTTTAAAATACGTTTGTATTGATTTGATAGAGGAAGTGTAGAAGGAGAGAGAGAAACATCTGTGAGATGTGAGAAAGAAACATTAACAGGCTCCTGCCTGCATACCACCTACTGGGGATCAACCTGGGTGTGTGCCCTGACCAGGAATTGAACCAGTGACCTTTTGGTGCATGGAACAACTTTCAACCAATTAAGCCACAGGCTAGGGCTAACCTCATATATTTAATAAATCACCACATTTTGGCCATTCTCCTCCTAAATACTGTTGAGATTTGAATACTTCTCTCCTTCAACACTAGTATTAAGCCAACTGTAAGCCAATATCTATTTTCATCAGGACCATTTCAGTGGTCTTCTACTAAATAGTCTCCCAGTACCTGACCCCTCCAGTCTATAGAATGAACTTCAAAAATGCAAGTAAAGCCAAAACCGGTTTGGCTCAGCGGTAGAGCGTCGGTCTGCGGACTGAAAGGTCCCAGGTTCGATTCCGGTCAAGGCCATGTACGTTGGTTGCGGGCACATCCCCGGTAGGGGGTGTGCAAAAGGCAGTGGTTGATTTTTCTCTCTCATCAACGTTTCTAGCTCTCTCTCTCTCTCCTTTCCTCTCTGTGAAAAATCAATAAAAAATATTTTTTTAAAATGCAAGTAAATATACATAACTTCCCCACTTATATCCTTTAAATGGTTTTCCTAACATGATCTACTCCTTACTTTTCTCTATGACCTTATTATTGTCTGGGCAATACTGACCTTTCTTCTTTCAGTTCAGTAAATACTCCAAAGCTCATTCCTGTCTGATAGCTTTTAAATATGTAGCTTTTACTCTACCTAAAATACTGTCCTCACCCTAAACCACTTTCACAGCTAACTAACTTCCTATTTACCTCAAGTCCTTGCTTAAAGTCACTTCTTCAAAAAATGTTTCTCTGAATACCTTTATTAAATTAGGTGCCATTTATGAGTTATCTATGTACTTTTCTTCTTATTGAATACTAGTGGCCTGATGCACAAATAAAGATTCATGCAAGAATGGTCCTTCATTCCCCTGGCTGTCGGCACCCTTTCCACCTTCCCACGTTGCCCGGAGCAGCTAGGGTTGTGCGGAACATCTGCGTTGTCACCTGGCCACTGGGTGCCTGTGTATGCAAATTAACCCACCATCTTTATAGAGGCCATTTGTCCTTCCAGCAAGGGTTAATACTGCAACCCCCTTGGTGGAGAACAAGAAGGCCCAGCTGGTAGTGACTGTACGTGATATGGATGCCATTAAGCTGGTCGTCTTCCTGCTTGCACTGTGCAGTAAAATGGGGGTTCCCTGCGGTATTATCAAGAGAAAGGCCGGGGTGGGGTGTCTAGTTCACAGGAAGACCTCTACCACCATCACCTTTACACAGGTTAACTAGACGACAAAAGAGCTCAGGCTAAGCTGGCGGAAACTATCCAGGCCAATTAAAATGACAGATATGATGAGATCCACCATCAGTGGGGAGGCAATGTCCCAGAACCAAAGTCGGTGACTCACATTGCCAAACTAGAAAAGGCAAAAGCTTTTTGCCAACTACATTAGTAAAGCTTTTCCTCATGTTCAGAGTACAGTGAACATTTATTTTCATATACTATTGATGGTACCATAATAGTATATGAAAATAAATGTTCACTGTATTATTATCATATACTATTGATGGCACAATCCAATTCTTTTAGAGAGCAATTTAGCAATATGATTCAAGGAAATTACTGATTCAATTACTTCACATAAAACCAAAGAAAATATTTTTTTTTTTATATTTTATTTATTTTATACAGAGAGGAAGGGAGAGATAGAGAGTTAGAAACATCGATGTGGGAGAGTCATCGATCAGCTGCCTCTTGCACACCCCCCACTGGGGATATGCCCGCAACCAAGGTACATGCCCTTGACCGGAATCGAACCCGGGTCTCTTGAGTCCCCAAGCCGACGCTCTATCCATTGAGCCAAACCGGTTTCGGCAAGCCAAAGAAAATATAATGGATATAGTATTTATTAAGTACTGTGTTGTTATTATATCATTTATATACTATAAGTTCAAAACATGAAAAGAATATGTATAAAAATATTTTATATGGCAGTTTATAAATATAAAAACTTTATAAAAAGTCTTAACTGTAAAACAGTGAGGGAATGAATGCTACATTCACAAAGATTTTACAGTTAACAAATAAATGCAAACCAATAGAGGCTCCTCGCTCAGGCTGTTTAGGAAAAAAGGCTAAAAGAAAATACACAAAATATATTAATAGGCCCGTGATGAGAATAGTGAGATATGAATGAATTTATTTCTTCATTTCAAAATACTTCATTTGTTTTATAATTTAAACTTGAGGCCCGGTGCACGAAATTTGTGCATGGGGGCGGGAGGGGTGTCCTTCAGCCCAGCCTGCACCCTCTCCAATCTGGGAACCCTCAAGGGATGCCTGACACTCCGACATCTCTCTCACAATCCAGGACTACTGGCTCCTAACTGCTCACCTGCCTTTCGGATTGCCCTTACCGCTTCTGCCTGCCACCCTGATCACCCCCTAACCACTCTCCTGCCAGCCTGATTGATGTCTAACTGCTCCCCTGCCAACCTGTTTGCCCCCAACTTCCCTCCTCTGCCCGCCTGGTCACCCCTAACTGCCCTCGCTTGCAGGCCTGGTGCCTCCCAACCATCCTCCCCTGCTGGCCATCTTGTGGTGGCCATCTTGTGTCCACATAGGGACAAGATCTTTGATCATATGGGGGCAGCCATATTGTGTGTTGGAGTGATGGTCAATCTGCATATTACTCTTTTATTAGATAGGATAGAGGCCGGGTGCACAGGTGGGGATCAGCTGGTTTGCCCTGAAGGGTGTCCCGAATCAGGGTGGGGTT